AATATTCTGTAAGTCAGAGCCTCTTCAAGGCTCAACCCCATATTTACTGCTTTGTAGCCTCCACTTTGTGTAGACACGACCTCAGTAAATCACACTGGCTGGCTGTCACTCATTCTCAGAAGACCACAGCATCAAAATAAAACCGTTAGAAAGTATAAGCACTGAAGTAACAGTTACAGTTTAAATGCACCCATGGTTGACTGTATCATGGAGGCAACCTACAATTTGAGTCTTTGTTTGGTCATTGACAAGACATTTTTTGTCAAAATGTCAGTGAAATTTGAAAAATTGAGCCCCTAAAAGATACTGATTTTCTTGTTTATAGGAAATGCTTTTTAAGACTTTGCTTTTTGTATCTCTGATAATTTTTTTAGGGGTCTCTGGAAAAGTTGAGTAGACAGAAACTAAGGAAAGAAAAGATGTAGTATAAAACTGTAATTCAATAGTACTGTGATTTCTGCCTTCATCTAGTAAGTAGAAAATAGTATAAGGAATAAGTTTTTACTTAGATTCACTATTATGTACTTGGCAATAAAAATTCAAGTTAAAAATCACTTAGAATGAGAGCTTCCTAATTGTGTTTTCCTTCTAGATTCTCTTTGTCATTAGAGTAGTCTCTAAGATAGTAATAACATTATCTGGATATAATGAGAGGATTTAAACTCTAAAGTTCAGTCATACAAGGAAAGAAACATACTCTTTCAAGGGACTTACCTTTGTCTTTTCTTTAAATCCTAATATAGTGCTGACCTACTAAATGAAAGATCTTTGGAGCTAAATGATAGCCAGCTTTCTAGGTATATGCCACCTCACTGCCCATGCAGATCCCTAAAACTGCTCACTGTTCCTCTACCTAGGCAGTTGCTTCTATTTTCCAGTTATCTATGACTGCCTATGTGAGTTTTCTGCTGTTGTACCATGACCTTGTGCAACTATGCTGCTGCCCCCACTATCCCTTGAGCCCTTGGCTGCTGCTTCTGTTTTCTAAATACATATTGGTGGATCTTCTTACGTTCATGTGGTAGAGCTGCCCTGAAATGAAGTTAGCACTATACACCATAATCTTTTTAGCTTTGTGTCCATGTTTCTTTTGCACTGTCAGACTGTGGTGAATGACTATAACCAAAACTTGTTGTTGTGAATCAATATTTTTATGCTGCACTAATCCATATCACTTTAAACCTTTGTGACGAACTACATAGAGCATTTTTTAGTAATTTTTTTTTTTGTTTTGAGATGGAGTCTCACTCTGTCGCCCAGGCTGGAGTGCAGTGGTGTGATCTTGGCTCACTGCAACCTCCACCTCCGGGGTTCAAGCGATTCTCCTGCCTCAGCCTCCTGCCTAGCTGGGACTACAGGCGTGTGCCACTGTGCCCGGCTAATTTTTTGTATTTTTAGCAGAGACAGGGTTTCACCGTGTTAGCCAGGATGGTCTCGATCTCCTGACCTCATGATCTGTGGCATATATGCATACATTTCAGAAATATAAAGATTACAGTTTAGTACAAAAACAGAGGTCCCTGTTCTTCTTTTATAATATGCTTTTCAGACACAACTATGTTGAACTCTTCAGCAGTTTCTTTAGGTTATTTGGCTTAGCATTTATTATTATTATTTACTCGAACTCCTGATCTCAAGGGATCCACTTGCCTCAGCCTCCCAAAGTGCTGGGATTATAGGCGTGAGCCATCACACCCAGCCAAAAATACATTTTTTCCATAGTACTGCCATTTTATATTCTTTCCAGCAGTGTATGAGACTTCCAGTTGCTCCACATCCACATGTCAGTGTTTTTCAATTTAGCCATTCTTATAGATATGAAGCAGTAGGTTATTGTGATTTTCATTTCCCTAATTAATAATATTGAGTATCTTTGCATGTTCATATTTGCTATCAATATATCATCTCTGGTGAAATCTCTATTCACATATTTAGCCTTTTTAATTTTTACTTATTTTTTTCTTCAACCTTTATTTTTTTTTTTAATTTTTTTTTTTTTTTTTTGAGATGGAAGTCTCGCTCTTTTGCCCAAGCCGAACTGCAGTGGTGCTATCTTGGCTCACTGCAAGCTGTGCCGCCTGGGTTCACACCGTTTTCCTGCCTCAGCCTCCCGAGTAGCTGGGACTGCAGGCGCCCGCCACCACACCTGGCTAATTTTTTTTATTTTTAGTAGAGACGGGGTTTCACCGTGTTAGCCAGGATGGTCTCAATCTCCTGACCTCGTGATCTGCCCGCCTCGGCCTCCCAAAGTGCTGGGATTACAGGCGTGAAACACCATGCCCGGCCTCAACCTTTATTTTAAGTTCAGGGGTACACGCAGGATGTGCAGGTTTGTTACATAGGTAAATGTGTGCCATGGTAGTTTGCTGCACAGATCATGCCACCACCTAGGTATTAAGCCCAGCATCCATTAGCTATTCTTCCTGATGCTCTCCCTCCTCTCACCCACCTCTGACAGGCCCCAGTGTGTGTTGTTCTTCCCTATGTATCCGTGTGTTCTCATCATTCAGCTCCTGCCTATAAGTAAGAACATGCAGTGTTAGGTTTACTGTTCCTGTGGTAGTTTACTGAGGATAATAGCTTCCAACTCCATCCATGTCCCTGCAAAGATTATCATCTCATTCCTTTTTATGTCTGCATAGTTTCCATGGTGTATATATACCACAATTACTTTATTGAGTCTGTCATTGATGAGTATTTGGGTTGATTCCATGTCTTTACTATTGTTAATAGTGCTGCAATGAACATATGCATGCATGTTTCTTTATAATATAATGATTTACGTTCCTTTGGGTGTGTACCCAGTAATGGAATTGCTGGGACAAATGGTATTTCTGCCTTTAGATCTTTGAGGAATCACCACACTGTCTTCCACAAGGGTTGAACTGATTTACACTCCCCCCAACAGTGTAAAAGTGTTCCTTCACTGTGCAACCTCACCAGCATCTGTTTTTTCACTTTAATAATTGTCACCCTGGCCGGGCGTGGTGGCTTACACCTGTAATCCCAGCACTTTGGGAGGCCAAGGCGGGCGGTTCACGAGGTCCGGAGATCAACACCATCCTGGCTAACACGGTGAAACCCCATCTCTACTAAAAATACAAAAAATTAGCTGGGTGAGGTGGCGGGCACCTGTAGTCCCAGCTACTCGGGAGGCTGAGGCAGGAGAATGGCGTGAACCCGGAAGGCGGAGTTTACAGTGAGCCGAGATCGCGCCAATGCACTCCAGCCTGGGCGACAGAGCGAGACTCCGTCTCAAAATAATAATAATAATCATCATCATCATCATCATCATGATGTTTGGCGTGAGGTGTTACCTTATTGTAGGTTTGATTATCATTTCTCTAATCAGTGATGGTGAGCTTTTCTTTATATGTTTGTTGGCCACATGTATGTCTTATTTTGAGAAGTGTCTGTTCATGTCCTTTGCCCACTTTTTAATGTGGTCTTTTTTTCTTGTAAATTTACTTAAGTTCCTTGTAGACTCTGGATATTAGACCTTCATCAGATGGATAGATTGCAAAAATTTTCTCCCATTCTGTAGGTTGTCTATTCCTTCTGATGATAGTTTTTTTGCTGTGCAGAAGCTCTTTAGTTTAATTAGATCCCATTTGTCAGTTTTTGCTTTTGTGGCAATTGCTTTTGGCGTTTTCATTATGAAATCTTTGCCCATGCCTATATCCTGAAAAGTATTGCCTAGATTCTTCTAGGGTTTTTGATAGTTTCGCATTTTACATTTAAGTCTTTTATCCATCTTGAGTTTTTTTTTTTTTTCTTTTTTTTTTGAGACGGAGTCTTGCTCTGTCGCCAGGCTGGAGTGCAGTGGCGCGATCTCAGCTCAGTGCAAGCTCTGCCTCCCAGATTCACGCCATTCTCCTGCCTCAGCCTCCCAAGTAGCTGGGACTACAGACGTGCGTCACCATGCCCAGCTAGTTTTTGTATTTTTAGTAGAAATGGGGTTTCACCATGTTGGCCAGGGTAGTCTCGATCTCCTGACCTCGTGATCCCCCCACCTCGGCCTCCCAAAGTGCTGGGATTACAGGCGTGAGCCACTGTGCCTGGCCAGGTAAATTTTTGTATAAGGTGTAAGGAAGAGGTCCAGTTTCAATTTTCTTCAATATAGCTATCCAATTTTCCTAGCACCATTTATTAATTGGGAATTCTTTCCCCATTGCTTGTTCTGTCAGGTTTGTCAACGATCAGATGGTTGTAGGTGTGCGGTCTTATTTCTGAGTTCTGTATTCTCACTGGTCTATGTATTTATTTGTTTTTGTACCAATCCCATGCTGTTTGGGTTCCTGTAGCCTTCTAGTATAGTCTGAAGTCAGGTAGCATGATGCCTCCATCTTTGTTCTTTTTTGCTTAATATTTTCTTGGCTATTCAGGCTCTTTTGGTTCCATGTGAATTTTAATACAGGTTTTTTTTCTAAATCTGTGAAGAATGTCAATGGTAGTTTAATGGATATAACATTGAATCTATAAATTACTTTGGGCAGTATGGCCATTTTCACAATATTGATTCTTCAAATACATGAGCATGGAATGTTTTTCCATTTGTTTGTGTCCTCTGATTTTTTTGAGCTGTGGTTTGTAGTTTTCTTTGAAGAGGTCCTTCCCTTGCCTTGTTAGCTTTATTCCTAGGTGTTTTACTGTTTTTCTAGCAATTGTGAATGGGAGTTCATTCATGATTTGTCTCTCTGCTTGCCTGTTGTTGGTATATAGGAATGCTACTGATTTTTGCACATTGATTTTGTATGCTGAGACTTCACTGAAGTTGCTTATCAGCTTAAGAAGCTTTTGGGCTGAGACAGTGGGGTTTTCTAGATATAGGACCATGCCACTGGCAAACAAAGATAATTTGACTTCCTGTCTTTCTGTTTGAATACACTTTATTTCTTTCTCTTGCCTGGTTTCCCTGGGCCAGAACTTCCAATACTATGTTGAATAGGAGTTGTGAGAGAGGGCATCTTTGTCTTGTTCTGGTTTTCTTTTTTTTTTTTGTTACTTGGAACTTTATTTGAGGAAAAACAAGATAAACGTATCAAAAGAACACACAGGTTGAGGGTGGGGGGGCGCAGCCAGTGGCGGCAGCAGGGGTGGGCTTCCGGGCTAAGGCTTTACTTGGCGGCAGTCTCGTCGGATTTTGCAGCTTCTGGGCCCCCAAGCTGGGCCCGCGACTCGAAGGTGACCGGGATGGTGATCTCGTTGGACTGTGTGGCTAGCTTGGGCATGGGGGCTTCCACGGTCAGTGTGCCCTCAGGGGACAGGGAGGAGGAGACCTGGGTGGGGTCCACACCGGAGGGCAGCTTGTATTTCCGCGTGAAGCACCAGGAGATGTAGCCATGCTCGTCCTGCCGCTCCTCGTGCTTGCCTTTTGGGAGAAGAGGGAAATCAGACTATCGTCTTGTTCTGGTTTTCAAAGGGAATGCTTCCAGTTTTTGCCTATTCAGTATAATATTGGCTGTGGGTTTGTTATATATAGCTCTCATTATTATGAGGTATATTCTTTCAATACCTAGTTTATTGACAGTTTTTAACATGAAGGGATATTGAATTTTATCAAGGGCCTTTTCTGCATCTATTGAGATAATCTTGTGGTTTTTGTCTTTAGTTCTGTTTATGTGATAAATCAAATTTACTGATCTGCATATGTTGAACCATGACTTGCCTGGCCAACATGGCAAAACCCTGTCTCTACTAAAAATACAAAAATTAGCCAGGCATGGTGGCATGCACCCGTAATCCCAGCTACTCAGGAGGCTGAGGCACAAGAACCACTTGAACCCAGGAAGCGGAGGTTGCAGTGAGCTGCCATCGCACCACTGCACTCCAGCCTGGGTAATTGAGCAAGACTGTCTCCAAAAACAAAAAACAAAAACAAAAACAGAACAAATTTTCAGTGAACGCTTATGGATAGATTTTTTGGGAGGGTTTGTTTCTAAACTTAGATTTAAGGATAATTTAATGGTGAACCAAATATGTTTTAAAATTTATGAGTTGATAAAGGTATTAATTTTTAAAAACCGAACTAATTGGTTACCTGTGGTAGACACTAGAAAAACAACTTATTCGGTGGCTCAAGCCTGTAATCCCAGCACTTTGGGAGGCCGAGACGGGTGGATCACGAGGTCAGGAGATCGAGACCATCCTGGCTAATACGG